TTATGTTGTGCGATGGTAGTAGCAGCAGCAACAACATCAATTGTGTTTGTTGCTGTGGCTATCACCACTACTCGCCGGTGATGCTATGTTGCTTTGAGTAACCATTGCTCTGTGGATAACAGAAATAACCCGATTACGAAGGTTGTGTAGTGGTTGCTTCCAGCATCATAATCATACTCCGACATTTCTTACCACTGGGCCTTTCTAACTTCATCAGTGATGGCTTGAGGTCGCTGATGACGCCTTTGAGTATTGTTGATAGAATCTATTAGGGATGTTGTCGTGAAGCTCACCTCGATACTATAACCTAATATTCCCACCGGGACAATGCTTCCATCGGTAGTCAGCTTCCAAACGCAGATCACTGATGACTTCTCTCTTAATAGAAAGCCTCTTGGTATCGTATATCTGTTGCGGTGTACTATGCCCTTTCCTTCCTTACAAAATTGACAAGTGTATCGCGTTGAGAGTATCATGGGATTCCAGGTTGTGTCATGGAGCAGATTCGGGTCTTCAGTTCTCGTTCTCTATCTGGCTGTTTTCCTGTTCTAAAAAGTGGTCAAGAATGAGTACCACACCATCCGATCCGTTCACTGACACTACTGATGATTGCGTGTTTCGGCGGCAAGTCCAACTGTCGGCTAGTCGTTCTACTACCAGCTCTGTTGCTGAGACCACCTCCCCTATGGGTAAGGTTGATGGCGATGAGAAGTCAATGATGAACTGGAAGGATATCGCAACCTGCCATCTAATATCACCCGGTTCGCCCGTTACTGCAGCTATAGCAGTTGTCAAGGCGACCCTCGGTGCTGCGCCCTTCGCTGTGGCATATGCCATGGCTACCGGCGGTTTCGTGGCCGGCATAGTACTGCTCGTCGCTATGTCTGTTCTCAACGTCCTTTCTCTGGAGTACATCGTGGATGTTGTGGAGAAGACCGGTAAGACATCATATGTCGATATTGTTGATCACCTCATGGGTCGCAAAGTCGGTTATATCTTCCAGTTCGCCGTCATTGCTTTCAGTCTGGGTAGTTGTGCTACGTACTTGGTAACGATGTTTGATATTCTTTCACCTGTATTCAGTCAACTACTCATAGGGCAAGAAAACACTTGGTACGGTAAAATGCTGACAGAACGAGTGTATCTATCCCTAGTCCTAGCTGTCTTCGTTCTCTACCCAATTTCCCTTGTAAAGAATATAAGCTCTTTACGCTACCTCACCCTGTGTGGTAGTATCGGTGTTTGTTACTTAGCAGTTGTAGCAATCTATCTACTAATCTGCTACGGTCCATCGGACTCCTTCGAGCTTAGTCACGCAGCTGGTCCTGTGAATTGGGTCCTCTTACTCCAAGCTGTAAATACATTTATTTTCGCCTCTTGTAACCAAGCCAACATACCAGAGATATACGCTGAAATGCATCCTCGCAGTCTGGGTCGTATGCGATGGGTGGCTGTGGTTTCAGCTGTGATTTCGCTGGCAGCCTACATATCAATTGGCGTCATTTATTTCGTAGTGTTTGGCTACGACACACAGAGCAATATCATCCTTAATCTCAGCGCATGGATTCCGGAGGGCAACGTTGTGGTCATTGCCGCTTTTATTCTCTCCGGCATTGCTTTCATCGTGTCGTATCCTCTCAACGTCCATCCCATCAAGGTTACAATTCTCAATGCCGCCAAGCCAAAGCGACCCGATCTATGGGCTGTCGTTATCGTTACTTCGGTCATTGCGATCTCTTATGTGGTTGCAGTAGTGCTACCCGATGTTTCTGTTATCCTCGGTCTGGTCGGTGCGATTGCCGGTTCGATCCTTAGTTTCATCGCTCCTGGTGCCTTCGCATTGGCGATTTCTGAGAAGAGGTTTAAATTCTTCTGTCGAGAGAATATCAAACCTTCTCTGTTGTCCATCTTCGGTTGCATAACACTTGTTTTGGGTACCTGTATATCTTTCTATCAGATTATCGAGTACTATAGCAACTAGGGGTGTATGCGGGAGGGTTCTGAGATTTGTGTTGTCAGGGAGGGGAGTCGACGGGAGACACACAATAGAGACGCGACACGAAACATTCGAGCTGGCTGGGAGGAAAGTGTTCCACGGTCGTGATCGGGCGTAGATGAGCTCCACAAATCCCGTCTTTTACCTTAGTACGTCGTGTCTTATTAATGTTCAACATCTTCGCAGGAATGGACCCCGAATCTGCGTTACAACGTGTGAGTAACTTTGAACGCATCACACTACACAACTTGGTCGACAAAAACTGGGCCGGAGCCCCTGGAAGATTACCCAGTGCCCCGACGGAGCGATCCGTGCTTTTAGGCATGTAAAGGAAGAGCATATGCTACAAAGGTTCGTCACAGTGTGGGCACTTTTGCTGTCTCTGTTCAGATTGTTGAGCATACGTAAGAACAAACCGCTAACGCTAGTCCGACATACTGCTACAAGTGCAAAGCGCAATAAACCTGAAAAAGCGTACGATAGATGCTTAGTTTTTGGGTACGCTTCGTTGACATGTATGGTGGGAGTGTTTGGTGTTTAGGGGCTCGTCCAGGTGTTTCGTAATGATCTTGAGTGTACAAGATACAGAGCGGGTCTTAGAACTCAACTCGCAAATTGCGCTCGGGCAAACTGTGCTCGTCGTAGAGCCAGTTTTCGATGATCTCTACTTAGCAAATACTCATAACCCCATTATAAGGAGTAAAAGCTGGTTGCTCCCCGCGAGAATTGAGAGTATCCCGGCGACACCAATTTTAAAAGTACAGGCAAAACACAAGACACAGGTTCACTGAAAGCTTAAATATCAGGTATCTAACACAGGTTCCTTCAACTTTTTCGTACTTCGCAACGCCAAGGTTCAGCTAGGCTACTGTAGCTGGGAGAAGGGTTGCTCAGGGGACATCTGCGATGGACAGTGTTCGGATCCTATGACATGTCCTAGCATCAGCAGACCACGGAAAGCCGTGTATAACACCTGATACATTAGCTAGTGCTTATCCGTGCAATTCAGATACATCGCCGGAGCACTAGTGCACTGCACTGAATTTCCTGGGTCAACTGTAAGCCGTCGTGTAAGTCCCTTCCGGGGTGTAAGTTTCACGATGACGCTCACAAAAGAAAGCATTTGGCAGACAGACATGCCCCCTACAGCTAATGAGTTGGCTGAAGCGGGGCAACAAATTTGCACGACAGTAAACGAGCATGGAGGTAAGCCATCGTGAAAACACAACGTGACCGAGCATACGGTATAATTGTACGATAGGATGGAGTATCATGGGCTGGAACAAAGCAGGGCAAAGCATGGAAGAGAGTGGTGGAAACTTACATCAGACTGGCTCTTACAAAGAGATCGAAACAATTCACATCGTCAGTATGTCACCAGAGACGCACGACCCACAAGTACTACAACTTATTGAGGAACAAAAAACGAGTCCACCACCACCTGCGACCCTGAATTGGGGCCCAGGTTCCCTCCGTGGAAATCTGAGTAAGTAGCGGATGTTGTGTTTGTATGGCACTTCGTAGTTTAGGAACAGGCCGAGAGAACGGTGAGGATTCAACGCATCGTATAGGTGGTACGAGCAGTAGCACCGGAAACATAGTACAAGGCGGTGGACATAGCCGAATCCGCATACATAGTGAGGTCACTGACCTCACTATGTATGCGGATTCGGGTCAGCAGACAGGAAGACCCCACTAACAATGGCGATACGCGCAGAAGTAGAAGGAGCAGAGGTAACAGCCGTAGTGGTCGGTGCGATGGTAGCAGATGACGTGGTCAGGGTCGACACGTATCCCAAGTGAGCCGAGTAGACCGCCGACTAGAAGCAGTGATAGCTGCAATACTTTGACGGGAAGATATCGTCCTGAACATACAGCAAGCCAGCCAAGTCGCTTAGCCAGCGACGAGAGTGCACCTCAAGACGAGGAACTGAGCATGCAGAGCGTTGTAAACATGTTGAATGCTGAAGCCGACGGTGGAGGCACCGATAGTAACGCAACATGAAGAAATTAAGACATAAACTTTCCAAGTGGAAGCATGGTTTAAAATTTCGGTAAACTGAGGTATTGAAAGTAGGTACTTCATGAAAGTATATATCTATATATATGTGTATAAATATCTTGGTGCGATGACAGACAACGAGGTTAGGTCAATAAGGTGTATGTTCGACGTATGACCTACCCAACTGATTGTGTGCACTTGAGTGTTAAAAATATATAAACATGTGATGTTACAGCTTCAAAGGCGTAGCGTTGACGGAAAGGGAGGAGAGGGAAATGTCGATTATGAGCAATTAAAGGCGCTAGCGGCGCGCGGCTGCGAAAAGATACGCAGCGCGACGCCGCAGACGCGACATATACAAAGCACAGAGGGCATATGACTATGGCCGTTAGAGAAATGGTAACCGTTGTTAACAGGATCTATATCTTAAGTATGGCAAGAAGACCGAGACCAACACTGGAACGATGCAGACGGTGTCAGTCGTACAGAAGGCCGAACAGACCTTGCGCGAGATGTCGTACTCATTCACAGGGAAGGGCTGAAGAGGTAGTAGCCTCGGTAGCGAGTTGGCCGTAGAATGTCGAAGCAACAGAGCCACTGTCAGGCAACGCGGAGCATTAGTTCGGACGACAACGCATGTGAGACAGAAGGAGATGACGAGGAGGTTAGCGAGGCTATACCGAGTGTTACGATTGACTTGAATGTCAGATACCTGAATGTGAAAGCTGCCTTAGACGAAGCACGGCGGAAATGCCACTGAACTTTCGACGACACGAAACACGCGACTTGCACGGCCACACTTATGGAGAATTACAGACGGGTGTCTTACGTCAGCGAAATGAGGTTAACTTGTGTGCGGAATGTGCTGAGTACCTAAGAGGTAGCCGAATACAGTGGAAATCAGCATGGGCGGCAATCTTACTCAGCAAGTTGCAGAATGTATCGTTGCGACGTAGATTGTGGTCTCTATTACCGACAAACTTGAGAAGGTGGTGGGGTCATCTATGGGACGTTGCGGAGGATGTGCCATGGTTTGTGGACACGACATGTCGAAATAATGAATTCGAGGAGGCCATTCAGTCACTGAAGATTGTCCGGTTAAAAGCGATTCTCGACGAAGAGTGTATGCGAACAGTGAGGTGCCCGTGGGGATGCTGGGAATACGTAGAAGAATGTAGAACAGTGAGCTTTGCACATGTTGTGCAGATGGTAGGTCCGACGTTCAAATCATGTAAAGCGAATTACCAACGAGTACTGCAGTGCGCTCGACCAGATTGGTTGGAGACGGTGGCCTACCTTGACTGGCGGATATCCCCCAGCACTCGTGTCACTGCTGAAGGCCTGTGCTTATTGACGTGTAAAAGGCATGGGGGAGGAGTGACAAAGCAGTTCGTCCATGTTCCTCGCAATCCTATAACTACGTTTCATCCTCCACATCAAGGCGACCAACTAGGACCTGCTGTACTGGGTACCGATACAGTGAAAGCTGGCAAGCGGACGTACTGGCAAAGCAAGAAGATTTGATCGTTAACGAGCGGGAAGATGTACGCGAATACCTTGAAGGCTTGTACCAGAGCAGAGACCTTCCGCAGCGAGTGTATGACGAGCTGATGCGACCTCGAGAGTATGAAGCACAGAGCGTGCAGGACGCTTGTGAAGGGAGCTCCGCTTTACCATTAGTACAAGTGATGGACTTTGTGAAAGGGGGAAGCACGAAATATCTGCGAATAAACAGAGACTTGCTGCTCCGTGGACAACCGCCCGAGGAACATCGCCGAGTGGGCTACATAGAACTGAAGGTGCCGCTCTGTCTTGCCTCACCATTGCAGGGGAGTAGAGAGTATGCCGCACCACGTTGGCTGCAGTTACCGAGATTGATACACCAGGAAGGGACGCTTTACTGGAGGTTGGTGTCCGTACTTTGTCAAGTATCTACGATATGGGGAAGAGTACTGGCTACATGTAGTAGGAATGAAATGGACTGGAGGAATTGCTTACTTATGCACGTGAGTAGTCGGATTCTGGCTCCACAGACGACGCCACGAACCAATTGCATAGAAGTGCGAAACGTGCAAAACCCGATGTATATCCGCGAGATGTGCCTCGTTGAGCTAGGCGTAGATGGCGTAGCTGTTGAAGCTGATAATAATGACGATAGAGCTGCCGAAGCCGTTGGAAGGTTGTTGACAGGAATTGATGGAGTATTGAGCTACGAAATGCAACAACGAGATAGGCTGGAGAGAGATAACATGCTCACACAACTGACAGGTACAGAAGACATAGACTCCGCTTATATATGGTGCTCAGCAAGGGCTATGGGGGGTGCGCCACCAATACCCGTAGCACGTCGAATTCGAGATGGCAAAGAACGAGTGTGGGTGGCCAAGTGTATCTGGAAAGGGGATAAATGCTATCACACATCTGGCGATAGAGCATGGATGCTTGAGCGAGGGAGGGAAAACCCGGTAGCTGATGCGAACTTACCTTTGGCTATGGCAACAGGATGGGAAGGAGTGCTGTACGTGATGGAACGAAGTGAAGCTATGCTTCAAGGCAGAAGAGACTTCCTGGCCTTCGTGGGTGGGCAAAACTGTGTAGAATGTCGGAGATGCAGACGGTATCTGACACGGGCGAGTCGCAGAACAAGAATGAGATGCTCACGCGAAGGATGCCACAGAAGAGCTATGTACTCGTGTCCAACGAGTATATGCGGCAGTAGCATATGTCGAAATCACCACAAAGAGGTCATAGAGAATGGCGAAGATCACGTATTTGTAGAGGGGCCAGCGTTGAGCGTGGACGTAGTACACGAAGCAGCCGAAGTACCCGAGTGCGATAGCGAATCTGAGAACAATACGGATGATGCGCTGAGCTGTATGCCATGGCCTCTCGGAACTCACGACAAGCAGAAGACTGCTGGCCACATTCTCCTTAACGGCTTACTTCGATGCTTGAGTCGACCGCGACACACCCTGGAGCTGAAACTCGGCGATAGGCGTTTCCTAGAGAATATGATAGCACGAGCACCCGACGGGCATGTATCACTGCAGCTACCTGAAGCCATGTTGTTTCCTGGTCTCTTCTACAAAGGTGCTCCGGATGGGGGAGTTTATGGAGCTTTGCCAATGTGCATGTGGTCGAAGAAGTTTGATGCTGAATTGGTTGGACTGACGTCATTACGAGATCATCTACTAACACGATTATGCGACGGAGCTCTACAAACATCACGAGATAACAACTATATAACGTGGGTATTCGGCACATTGTTCAATGAAAGCCTATCGAAAGTTGATACAAGATTAGTTCTAAGCAGAGGATATTACACAGTGAATCAAGGGCAGGCTCGAAGCGAAGAGGGTTGTATTCTACCCTTCGATGAACTAGACTCCCGAAAAGAAGTGAAGAAGTTAGCAGCAAGTTTGGCAGCAGATCCACACCGCTTGAAACTCTTTGTAACGTTAACATGCAACATGAGCAGTCACTTTGGAGTCGCACCAATAACAGCAGCGCTGCGAAAGGCGACGGAGAGCGTGCCGGCCGACGAGTCGAAATCGATGTGGGATTCAGCTGTGGTAGATTTCACGCTAGGCTGGGAACGAGCGATGCGACACTTTATCAATTACCTACAAAAATCAGATGAGCAGATACTCGGGAAGGTGAACGGAGTCTTTGCACGGTGGGAATTTCAAGATGCAAGCGGGAATTTACCTCATTTGCACTGCTTGTTGAAGTTGGATTCCTCCATGAGTGTTGAGAAGGTCCGTGATAAAATAAGCTGTGCGACTACAACATCGTACAATCTGAATGAAAATTTGCATATAAGCCCGACAACAATGGAAAGGATTCGAGAAGCAGGACTCGCGAGCTCATGGGAAGAGTGCGTGGAATACTTGAAGGATTTTAAGCGAATGCAGTCACACGACTGTACTAAAGCAGGCAGTAGATGTATAAAAAGAAGACGAGTCGAGAATAGAGCCGGGGCAGCAGAGCAATGGGTAGAGCAATGCCGAGTACCACGACACTTACCAGCACGCGAACATGGATTCCGAGAAATTACCGCGCCCCATAGTTATGAAGCACTGAAGATACTGGAAGACTTGGGGCTCGCATATCGATCGAAGCCTGAAAATATACCCGAGGTAACAGAGGAGCTACGAGCGGGACGGCATACCTATGCGGCTGACGCAGGTGAGCACATTAGTCCGGTATGTCCGCTTCTTTTTTTTATCACTCGGAGTTCCACTAATGTCCAAATATGTGACGAGTACTTTAACGCCAAATACTTGGCGAAATACTTGTGTGGGCCTGAAGAACGGGTTGGAGTGACTTTAACCTAGCTGTGGTCCATAGAGCTATCGCTCTTGTGAAAATGGCCAGTACTCGCCATATCGTCGCCTATAGGTACAGCAGACTTGTTGTAGACATTTCCTTTTCAGTAATGGTTGCAATTTACCTTTGATCCTGGTTGCCAGTCCGGACTCGATCCGTGGAGCGAAAGTAGCTGTTAGTGGTTACTATTGGCAATGTTCCTTTATATGTAAATTGTTATATTCCATTCCTTCTGATCTCGACAACGAGTTGTGTATCTAGTTTCAAACACCGGCTATCACCCAACCTCCCACAGGCAGACCCGTACTAGACATCAAAAGCGTTAGTTCCAATCATCACTGAGAAAAAAGTCCGCTTATTATCGTTAGTCACATCAAGTCATGCACAACGTTAACGAAAGTTCACTCAATGATAATGATTTGGGCAGCGAGCGGTATACGATGTCGTGTTCGAACATAACTCACCAAGCGACGTCTTGTTCTAGTCCTATTAGGAGTGCTATGCCCTCTATATTGAGGTCACTATTTTTGTATTAGTGCACCAAAATTAAGCAGAAGTTATCAGGCGCCGGAATATTGGAAATGCGACGCACATCATATCGCAAGAACTGGCAGAACGAGGTGCCCGAGACTTCGACTTGCTATTAAGTTGCTCACAGAAGTCCGCAATCCGAATGCAAACCGGATAAAACTAGTGGTGTAGACTACGAAGGCTATCAGCAGCCACGATTTCGTGATACAAAACCAGTATTAAATCCATGCCGACGATTTCTTCATACTCAGCGGGATGAACTCGAAACTCAGTATGACAGAAACAACGAAGAACTGACAAATGTAGATAGCAAATATATCTGGTAATTGATTCATTGAACTACGATATTGAACCACTGGTCCTGACCAACGGGCTCGCAGCTAACTCAACTAAAGCGGAAGTTATCACTTCCACGGCGAACAGAAGTGCCTACCAGATCCAACAAATCATAGTCGTCCCGATTGGTATTCTGTTGCTGCTCCTTCTGACCCGAATGTGATGGAGCAGGCTGGCCGGCAGCATGCGATGTGGAATCAAAAGACGGTCCAAGCAGATCTGCGAAATCGTCCGGTGTGAAGTTGGTATGTTGCCGAGGAGCACTGGTAGCCTGCTGCTGTGGGGGTGCACCCGGAACCACCGGTGGACGCCATCGCGGAGCGTCTACACTACTGCTAGTCTTGGGCAGTGTGGGGGGCTGGTATGAGGAACCTGCTCACTCACAACATGTGGCCAACTGGTTCCACCCGGCCTCGACTTACTGCTCATCGTCGTTCCCAATGTGACGGCAGACCCCGCTGGGCGTACTTGATGCTTCTCTCTCCCCGCTGCGATGGATGCCGCAGCATTAGAAAAGAAAGCCTTCATAGTATCGCCACCGGGACTAGCCCTCATAGTTGATGACAGAGAGTGCCAGAAAGAAGAGCTTGGTGCCGCAGGCGGTGGTGGTGGCGGTGGCGGCGGCGGCGGTGGTGATGTGATTTTATCAACGAACGAATGCGAGGGCATATTGCCGGCAACAGACGGTGGCTGGTATGGCAGGAACGATGGGTGTTGCAGCGGAGTGTTATCAGTCAGACTGGCCTCCTTGCCACCCGTCGGAGGTGCCGAGTCGGAGGGTATTTGTCGCGAAGTCGGTAACGAAGACAAGTTGGCCTGAAAAAGCCCTCGAAATGGAGACTCTTCTCTCCATTGGAGATCTACTCTTTGTGTTGATGCATCAATGGTAACAGCATCAGTATGAGTGTTTCCCTCTTTCCCTGGAGCCACAAGGGGCAATCTAGATCCGCTCCCTCCCGTAACCGAAGACTCGTCACTAGGTGGCAGTCGTATGGGAGCTGCAACTCTATCGAGACTACTGCGATGCTCATCGGAGGAGCGGTTCGCTGAATCTACCCTAGAGCTCTCCATGATGTTCTTATCGGAGATGCCATACGCCGCGGGAGGAGTTATGATGGTGGTGGTGTCAACAAGCTTCTGCTCGGCCATGGCAACACTCTCACTCCTGGCTGGGATATGTTCTACATCGTGGAGCGATGAAGAGGAAGCCGATAAAGCAGGTATCACATCGACATTGCTAGTAGCGGCAGGAGCATCACTGCCGACTCTAGTAGTATTGCAGGCCTTAGCCCCCACACCAGCACCACTGTCTAGAGTAGTAGGAGCCCCTAGGGTGGATAGAAGTGGGGCTCTTGGGGAGATCTCCCTGCTACTGATGGGGTCCTTCACAATCGATGCTAACGAGAGAACTTCCGTAGGAACGGTAGTCACAGTAGCAGCAGCCGCCTCCTCAGTGGTGATAACAGGCGTATTATCAGTAGTCACAGTAGCAGCAGCCGCCTCCTCAGTGGTGATAACAGGCGTATTGTCAGTAGTCACAGTAGCAGCAGCCGCCTCCTCAGTGGTGATAACAGGCGTATTATCAGTAGTCACAGTAGCAGCAGCCGCCTCCTCAGTGGTGATAACAGGCGTATTATCAGTAGTCACAGTAGCAGCAGCCGCCTCCTCAGTGGTGATAACAGGCGTATTATCAGTAGTCACAGTAGCAGCAGCCGCCTCCTCAGTGGTGATAACAGGCGTATTATCAGTAGTCACAGTAGCAGCAGCCGCCTCTTCAGTGGTGATAACAGGCGTATTATCAGTAGTCACAGTAGCAGCCGCCTCCTCAGTGGTGATAACAGGCGTATTATCAGTAGTCACAGTAGCAGCAGCCGCCTCCTCAGTGGTGATAACAGGCATATTATCAGTAGTCACAGTAGCAGCCGCCTCCTCAGTGGTGATAACAGGCGTATTATCAGTAGTCACAGTAGCAGCAGCCGCCTCCTCAGTGGTGATAACAGGCGTATTATCAGTAGTCACAGTAGCAGCAGCCGCCTCCTCAGTGGTGATAACAGGCGTATTATCAGTAGTCACAGTAGCAGCAGCCGCCTCCTCAGTGGTGATAACAGGCGTATTATCAGTAGTCACAGTAGCAGCAGCCGCCTCCTCAGTGGTGATAACAGGCGTATTATCAGTAGTCACAGTAGCAGCAGCCGCCTCCTCAGTGGTGATAACAGGCGTATTATCAGTAGTCACAGTAGCAGCAGCCTCTGGCATTGGTGAGGACAGCAAGCCCACAATAGAGCTTGGTGTGCCTCCCTCCCCCGAAGAGGAGGAGTCACTGTCCATCGAAGGTGCTCCCTCTCCACCCTCCATAGGCTCCACAGCTACTGCAGCGAACGTATCAGCCACCACCGATTTGATATCAGAAGTTGTCCTCATCACAGGAGGAGGAGGGGGAGGAGGAGGGGCCTCGTCCGTTGCTACCCTCAACTGCCGCATCCACTCCTCTTCCTCCTCATTCGGCTGCGCCCCCAACCTAATGCCCCCACCTCCTCCTTGCGGCCTCCCACCCCCTGTTGCAACTGCTGCTGATATTCCACCGACAAACGACGCGAAGAACTTCGTGGACGATTGCCCTAATCTCGAGGAGAGCCTAGACGCCGTCGCAGCGGTGCTGTCCATGACCTTCCGCAAATTCTCATCATACCCACTGCCACTCGTGGCCCCCACCGCCGCCGTTACATCTGCCGTATTGGAATCCTAACCACCCAGTGTAGGAAGGGGAAGGGGGGGGAACCAATCTCCTTACTTCAGCCTCCTTCCGAGCTCGTGGCCTATAGTGTTTCCGCAGCGTCCCTCCGGCTGCCTCCACAGCGGGCATGCGAGTCTTGATGAGCTCTAGTAGTGACGATAACGAGGGGCGCCCTGCGAGAAGGAGAAGGCATCAACAACAACGTCGCGGAGTGGTGTTGGAGTATGTAATGGCTATACAAGTTTTCATACGAATTCGGGTCTACGAGAAAAACAAGTGGAGTTTTCATACTGCCACCAACACATGCAGTTGACCATGTTCACCAGTTGTCCCCCCCAGTGTTAGAGGAATATATCTTCGCTTTCCTCAGCGGAGTTAAACGATAAATATACACATAAATTCGGGTAGAAGTGCCAAGGAGAATTTCTACAAATGCATTCACCAACCTATGCAGTTGAGCATAAACTGTTGTCACTACTACCTTCAGGGTCGCTACTGTGTAGCGTCACACGGCTCACTAGATCCTCTAGAATATCATTGGAGGTTTCCAAGTCCCTTTCCTACCTCCTCACCATCTGCATACCACACCATCCAAAACTTCATATGAAAATGACACTACCCCTTCTGATGTCCCCTCCAGTGTTGAGTATATGCTTTACTCTCTCGTACTGCTCCTCCAGCCTCCTACTATCGTCGTAGACCAACAACAGCGATGGTGGCCGCGGCGGCGGCCTCCCCAGTAGAGGAACTACCGCGAGTAACGCCGACCACTGCAGAGAGGATGCACATCTATAAACAACTACACCAAGTACTCACCTGAGCCCTAGTGAGGCCTTCGCTCGGCTCCTCCCACTCCTTGAAAACCGCATTGCCGCCCTCCCTGCCCACCTGCGACCCCTCATCATCATCATCATCATCCTCGGGCGTGTTGACTGCCACTACAGGAGCCCAGCTCAGGTAGTGAGTGATAGCCGCCAGACACCATACGTCGGAGGACGGTCCACTCTGGGGAGCCTCTTGCCCTGGCCGTAACAGAGTCATCAAAGCTGCTGTCAGCGGAGGAGTGTATACAACTTGCAACACCGTCTCGGGAGCCCAGGTGCGATACGTGGATAAACTACTATACTTTGTCACCGATCTCTTCTGCGATGGGGGAAACCATGCAACCATGTCGGTGAGCAAACCAACGGTATCAAGATAGTAGTCTACTGCTCGGACCGTGGGGGTGATTCTGAAAAGTAAAACGTCAACGAACAGCCCTTCCTACAACTGCACTTACCGTAAACCCTCCTTGCCCTCCCTAAAAAGGATGTCACCAAACGACAACTGCCCATTGTAGGAGACTCCTCCATAGCGGTGAAGACACTCCAAGGCCTTACACAGTCTATACGTAAATATCAGCACATAGTCACTATCACTATTGGTAGTGTTCCCGAGCCGAGCGGAATTTTTATATTCCTCCTCGGTCATTTCTGCCTTCTTCTTCCTCTCACTCCCTATCACCGTTGAAGCCCTCTTGATATCGTGCAAAGGGTAGCCATTGGCATCCACGAAACACTGAGTCGCTAAGTAGAAGTTGCCATCAGGGGCTTTGTAAGCGCCATATATCTTCACTACGTCAATTGCCGCATCCTCTCGAGATGAAATTCGGCAAAGTCGAGTGAAACTATTCACCCAGGCAGTTGAGCGTTTTATAGTGATGTCTCCATCGAGATGGATACGACCATGAGGAGGGGCAGAGGGCAGCGGCACCAGGCGTACGCAGACGTCCCCTTCTTCCTCCTCGCCCTGTGAGGTGTGCAGCATACCCACAAACGACTGACTAGACAACCGAGCAGTAGTTGACGACATCAATATCGTCCTCATACTATCACTCGGTGGTCCACTTAGAATTAGCAGCTCTCGCGGAATAATATCCTCCCAAGACTCCTCCTCCTCCTCCTGCTCCTCCTCCTCCGTATCTCCCCACTGGCGGCCCTCGGCCTCTACTACTGACCTCAGCAGTGCGCGGTAATCATAGTCGTACCATCCATCGTCATCATCACCCCTCCCCACTACTACCAAGGGCACCTCGGAGGGTCGAGGGTTACTAACCATGACGACCCTAGGGTCTTCCCCTACCAAAGACCCCTTCCGGAAGGTTCCCAAGCACACTCTCAAGCCCTCCTTGTTTTCATCACTTATGAGTAGGCCCAACCCCCAGGGACAGCCACACTGTACTTCTCCTATATAGCAGTTACCATTAGAGTAAAGGAGCACACCAAAGCCAGCAGGAACCTGAGAGCGACGACTCCCTCTCCATAGACAATTTCTCAACCCGCCTCCGCTACTACCCCCTCAACTGACCATTCCCCTTCATATGCAATCGGAAACTGTGCCTCCATTTCGACACCCACACCGCTTCGTCTCAAACGATAATAATCGTCGTTAAAAACAAGCAATTCTGCACGCCAGTTCGGGTCGTCTTTACGATACGCCCGTAATCGGCACTTGGGTAGGAGGCTGCCACTCCTTAGCATCAACTTCTTCTCCTGACGGCCAACGATGAAGTAATACTCGTCACACAGTGTCTGAAAACGCCACTTTATCACTAGTAAATGTAATATGAATCTAATGATATCTTCATAATAACAATATGATATTCATAGACAGTCCGCGGCATCTAGCCACCGAGAATACATATGCGGAAGTAGCTCTCCCGACAAAACGACTTTGAAAGTGAAATCTCAAAAATAAAAACAGTCTCCTCGGACAGCACCCCTTCGAGTAAGCGAGTAATACCCAGTATAGAGAGTTGTACCGGTAGACACTGTCTTAAACGGCAGAGCATTCGACAAGTAGGAGGCCGCCCTCCAGCGACCCTCCATAGATATATCCTCACCAATCTACTTCGAAAATTTCTAAAAGTGTATATCTAAACTACCGATTTCCACTAGCTAGTATGGTGAAGAGTAATGATAGTGATTAAGTAACGAATCGTAACCGTTACCCTCCCATCCTCCAAATTCCACTCTGAATATACCCCCGTTGTCGTAAACCCAATCATCACACACGCCTCGTGTAAGCTTATCACTATCATCACTTTAACAACAATATTTATATTCGTGTGTAAAACCGCAACTGATACTCTTCCTCTCACTCAGTTTCCCAACGAAGAGAATACTACTACCTTATCCTCCATCCTAGCAGTCGCTGGTGACGGGCATTCAAGGCGAGTTAGGTTCAAGACACTCGGTGATGCTCCCATGGCTCTGTAACACAATCATCACAAACTAACAGTGTTGGAGTATGAATATATGTTTGCTATCCTCAGCTGCTGAGCTCGGGAGTTTCCTATACAGTGCTGGAGTAGGAATATATGTTCGCTTTCCTCAGCTGCTGAGCTTAGAAGAGTTTCCTATACAGTGTTGGAGTATGAATATATGTTCGCTTTCCTCAGCTGCTGAGCTCAGGAGTTTCCAAAGCTAATTATACAAGTTTATATACGAATTCGGGTAGAAGTGTAGATAAACCATCAAGATTTCCTCAGAACTTCAATTTCGTCACCAACAACAACACATATACATATTTTCCCACACTGCCAACTACTACTCCCGAAACACAATCCCGCGTTACAAGTCAATTCTGGAAAGCATCTTGCAGTTGTTGACGAAAAGGGTAGTTCGGCAAGAGGCCCACTCTGACGCTTCCTCTCAGCCCTCCTGGTCCGCCCATCCCAACGACGCCTCCCACCTCCAATGGCAAATACGGCACTTTAAACCCAAAGCCCATCTCTCTAGGTGGAATACTATTCGCCTGTTCATACCGGATATCTCGGGCATCCAAATCCTTCGCTGTGCGCACCGCCTCCTCCGCAACAAGGGTAGCTCCCGAACGTATTTTCTCAAGGGTATCTTCCTCACTCCTCGACCTCGTACAGAGAGAAAGATACCTTTCCCAATCTTTCCTCAGTTCTCGTAGTTGACCTTCCAAAATGCTCTCATCCTGTGTCACCAGTCTACACCTTTTCGTAAACCACTGAGCTAGTTCCTCCCACCTCCCCTTCTCACACTCCATATTTATTATAGCCGACCACCCCTGCCTTCGTAATGCACGCAGTTGTACCGACAGAGCTGTCTCCAGAAGTAACGAATCCTCATGAGTATTCCTGAGCACCTCCGCATAGTTGTCCATAGGCTGGTCCAGTCGAATTGCTCTTTTTGCCAAGTCGATCACTTCTGACTGCTGCCCTGTCCAAAGACTACTACTGCTGGTAGCAGAGAAGAGGCAGTAGAGGCTAATGCCAACTACAGTCATCACTGATAGCGTTCTTCGAAGACGACGACGACGTGGAGGGAGAGGGAGACGACCTCGGGAGGAGGCTGGCATTATTTGACGATAACTTAGCAAGACGGAGAAGTGCTCTGCCAGGAATTGAACTCGGGATATCCGATACACCGACGAGATTGGACAATGTAACTCCCACTGCACTACCGCCTACTAAATGCGTTGCCCTTCCCCTCGTTGACACTCTTCCTTGCCCCTCGGAGCACCCCATAGAGTCTTAAAGATGCACCACAGTTGAACACAGACAAGTGGACACTATGTTGTCCGAAGAGCTTCTAGTCAATACTTTTTAAGGTGAGAACATCACTAACATCCTTGGGCACCCAAAACCAACCTTTACTACAAGTAATTCACACCAAATTTCGTTAACTAATCATCATCATCTCGCCGCGCATGGCATCCTACCAAGACGTTCTACCACACGCGCCCAATCTGATCTACAATTCTCCATGGCAATCTCAAACACCTGCATCATACGCTAGGCAATTACGTTGAGACTCAACAGCTGTTCCCTTCCCCAAAACATTCCGACCGCATTTCCCACTACAGAGACATACACTGCGCTGTAAGGAAATATACCAACAACTCTTCAGAATACTCATCCTTGTTACCCCATACCATCACGACGAAAGTACACCTGACCCCTCACCTTGCAACATTACAAAAATGCGATAGAAATCTGTAGATCTAAACTACCTCGAATTCCTACTTAACCACTCCAAACGCGAGCACTTGTGAAACCGCCCCAGTCGGGCCTTTTGAGTACAGCACTTAAAAGGAAGAACTATTGCCCACAGCTAGGTTGATGAACATGAACATCCTTCTTATTGCTATTCGAGAGCTGCTCATTCCTCTGACTATACACAAGGAAAGGGTTGGGCGTGTCTGGAGAGATCTGCGCCCAAGTATGATTAACATCTCTGTGCCTGTCCTCGTCTGCCCTCATACAGATAAGAGTGTCCAGTAGAGTAGCATCTTCTGGCAAACAATAGTAAGCCTTAGCATAAAATGGCGCAGACCGGTCGAATTCCGGGACTTGGCCGTTTTCAACATCCTCAACAATAGCGGTATAGGTCTTAAAGGCCTCCTCCTCGAGATAGCCAACAAACCTATGGCAGAACCTTGGTGATACTGAGTACGCACCAGCATAGAAGAGGAAGAAGGCACCTTGAGCGGCTGTTAGGAAGCTTCTAAGGAACCAACCGTGAGATACCAAACCCTGAGATATGAGTAAGTGCATCCTCTCATCCTCAGCCTCCTCGATCAATGTTGGTATCCATCCATTATCCCTCTCCATTCTTCGGAGAGACCTCAGGTGTCGATTCATAGCAGCGACCATACCAGGGATGCCAGCAATAGTCTCGAGTACGATGAGCCGGCGTGCATACATCTTATAATCGTGCTTGAAGAAGTCGTAACCAGAGAAGAAGTCGTAACCAGTTCGACAAAGCCACACCGCAGAGTGAGCCAGGTGATCTCGTATAGTCTTGGGCTTCAAATGCTCAGGAGCGATGGCTCGAGCAGTTGGTATGTCCCAGCGAGCATGAAAGATGTTACCAGTCTGAGTGGGTGCATCTGAGGGGGAAAATTTTGAAAGAAATTTCAGAACAAGTAGGACGCTTACCGTTGATTTTGGTTGCCTCCTTGAACTCCACTTGGTCCTTGACGTCCTCGGTGAAGTCCAGTGGCTTCGCGTGAGTCGCAAAGCATCGGCCGAATGGTATAGGTCTACCGGCATATAGCGTTGCTGCCACCGAGGGGAGGGTGGTACGTATTAGAGGAACGAAGGAAGAGCGAATCGCCGATGACGAAATCATGTGTGTAAAAATGAGCTGATATACACGCACTTTGGCACGATCGGATACTTCGAGATTTGTCAACACGAACTATCGCAATTATCAGACACTTAAGTTCAACAATCTTTCGTTACAGCGCAGTCGCATCTGGGCGCAGTCTGAAAAGCGCGCGTCATAGTAATCTCAAAACGTTGCAAAATCTTCAGCGCATGATACGCTGCGCACGGAAGAGGCTCGTCGCCGCGGGGAGACCGCTCCGAGAGACCGGCTAAATCCGGTTAAGAAAGGGAATGCGATAATATGAACAGGGGCAGACGCGTAGGAGTCGAGTTAAAGTTCCGATAGTCCGTTTACGATGTCGTAGACTTTCCTGGAGCCGATCAAAGTGCTATGATTTCCGAGTCCAAGTTCTCGGAAAAGCGACTTTCCCGAGCTCGGATAAAACCTACGAATAGAGTGCGTTCGGAATCCCGAGCTTTTTTCCGAGCTCGGAATTCGTGTTACTCGGTTCCGGGGAAAGCGATTTTCCGATTTTCGAGTAGGAAATGTGCCCTGCTTTCCGAGTTCCAGGTTTGAAAAGTTTTCAGCGTCTTTGGACCCCCGGAAATCCGTGCCCGAGCTCGGAAAAAGGCAACTGTGCGCCAAGACGGCAGAGAATCAGCCACGAAACAGCTCAAACACATACAAGCAACGTGCAGTAAGCTATTGCCAATAACATTATTGGCTCAGGCATGGCTATTGTCATCGAGGGCAAACTGACCCAGCGCCTCGCCGAAGACAAGCTCACTCCTTCCGATACAAACATTTTGTTGTTAACGCAACTCAATGCTTTGTATCCCGCTTGAACTAATTTTTCGAAGCTTGTTCATTATGTGCGCTTGTGAAAGCAGGCGTATCAACCTGCAAGGCTATAATGTCGTATTGTAGCCCCTCCGGAAAGAGGCTTGCGTCGGTGAGTATCTCTCGAGGTACTCGCAAACTCGACTGTGTTGTGGTGATATCACGGGTTCCTTGATCACGCGATTCTTCTCGTCAACGCATAACGTCAAATCAATTGATGAATGCAGAGAAGGGTTTGAATCCCGCGTTCAGTTTGGTCGCGAGATTAGTATATATATCTAAATTCGAATGTTTCCGACTTATGAGTTTTTCGGAAAAACTTTTTCCGAGTCCGAGCTCATGTTGCCGTTGAGCACTCTAATCCAGGGAAAGTTACTCGGTCCGAGTTCCCGGAATAGGCGTCGGAAAATTGACTTTTCCGAGGGGTCGCACTTTAATCCGTGGACTCTCAGAATGGAATTTCCGAGGGCCGAAACTCGGTATCCGAGTACTCGAACTTGGAACTCAGAAAGCCTTAGCACTTTAATCGGCTCCTGACGAGTGACAGAATCTTTTCTGGGCACATTGTCTTCTCATTCGATAGCGTGCAACTCTGTAAATTCATTTATTTCTCGTTGATTAATTGTATCTATCTTGGTTGGTATCTGAACTCCAATCGTATTTATATCACTATCTTATTAATCAAACTTGACCTTCATTTTCGAGTGCTATTGTATTATGAGGTTAAATTGGTAAGCATGAGCTATAGATGGACAGCGTAAGGCTTTTTATAGTTCACGTTACGGTGTGCGTAACGTAAGCAGTTTACGGTTACGGAAAAGCGTTGCGACTTTACGGTTTGTGCTAAACTGCTGTACTAAAATTGTGGCAGAAACATTCGCTGTAATGCACTCCTCCATAGCTCAAATAGTTGCTAACTCATCTTTCGTGGCTCGGATTCAACCGAACCGCTGAGAGAGTAACATTTGGTTTCGCATCTACCACTGGTCTCCTTTGCAAATTTCGTCCATCGTACTCCCAGGCTGGCCCAATCCTCGTTTTGTCCTCTGCCCCTCCGTGAAACCCGTTACGGCGCCGTAATTTTACGGTTAAACGAGTTTTACGGAGCTTGAATGAAAAAAGTAAAGGTCCGTAACGTAACTCTGCTCACATGTTGCATGAGCTCGTTAACCAAGCTTAGGTCCGATTCTGAGACAACTAACACTGTATAGGCTAGTATAAGATTACGGATTTATCTGTGTTAATTTTTAACATTGATATGAGTAGCTTTTTTCAGCGGGCCCTCGAATACCATGGCCACGATGAGTACTAGCTCCTCAGCCGTTCCAAGGAACTGGCATTTCTATGGTCGATAGATTTAGAGTTAGTATTCGTAGTCGTTTACATAGTCACGAAAAGCTAACGCGGGAATTATGGAACTCGAGCGAAGGTCTACACAAGCAGGTCGCCGCAGGTCGCCTCTATCTCATAACATCCCCTCTAAAAGTTATCCGTCTTTGTTACAACGTCAGCGCTATCCAACGTGCACTACCCTGAGTGGGCCACCGATCGACTGTGCGAGGGGAGTTTTTAACAAGTATCATCTCACGTGATCTCGTTTTGTAATACTGCTACTTGTTTGTGTGAATCTGTCGCCCGATATCGCTCAATATGGATGTCCATTCAGGGTCTCACGCTGGCCGAAGCTGGAGCTGATCTCCTGAAGGGAAAGAACTTCACAAAGAATGGTGACACAAGAGCAGCATGGATTGTGGTGGGTACAACACGAGCCTTTTCCGTTACGACGTGATGCTCCTCTGGAGGTTATTGTCAATGACTTATTGACAAGTTCAATGATTCAGACACTTATGATTCAATTCGAATCGATCTCAAAATGTGGCGATTCAGTGTGGGAAGATATAATATATCTGACAATTTCCTTACGCAGGCTGTCACATGAGCCTTACTAACCTTCTCACTCTATTTCACCGGGAGAAGCTTCCATCCCACCATGAGAAGCTTCAATTTCAACAGGCGAGCAAGTTGGTGCGTCAAGATACCCAAATAGGAAGTTCTATTCCGAGTCAAAATTTCGCAAACAGCGCACCGTCAAAATTTTTGACGGTGCGCTGTTTTGGGAACTTCAATTCCGACAAAGCAATTTAGGAGCTTTTTGGATTTTTCACATAAGAATTCCAATTTTCCTTCGAACTTGAGGAATTCAAAGGAAGCACAGGAGTTCTGTGACTGTCTCTCGCTGATAGAACGCAACTTCTCCAGCGAATCGACGAGTCACCGGTGATCTCCATTGTAATGCCGGGGATCAGAGTTCCTGATTCCCGGTGTTTGGAACTGCGGGTCGATAGTGAGTGTTAATAACGACTAAGAAAGGTAGTTCACGACTGTGAACTACTTTGTTCGTGAATCACGAGAGAAAATATGCCTTGTCCGATAAAGTTTGTCATCATATGGAGGCTAGTGCGACAACCGATGAACTTAACTCTATCCTTGGTGATGGGCTATCACTGATGGCGTATCACAGCTCAATAGCATAATCTTGCAGATGGTGGATTCGATGATAGTGACCGGAAAAGCGTTGCGTTCCAATCCGCGAAACTTCTCCCTCATGCGCGGAACTTGACTCACTATTCGTAACATATCTTGAATTGAACTATTTACATTAGAACCACCTCAGCAAGGTTTGCACGAAAACTCCGTAACGCAAGTATTCACGTTCTACATTGATATTCGAGCTTGACCATTCCGAACGGAGCAACAGCAGAGCTCTGCGGGAGATGCTGCGTTGCTGAACATTTTCTGAGTATAGTTAGATTGTTCTTGTGAATGACAGCTATAGCGACTACATGAGTGAGGAGACAAAAAAGACCTTTCGCATCTGCGTGAAATAAATAAAACAAGTATGAGAGCGCTCAAGCATTATGATAGGCTGGGCAATCACCTAAGTCAGCGAACTGCGGATTCATCCTCACATGAGTCCAGTTTTTGATGCTGACAATTTCCTTGTGAACAGCCGCTCTCTCATCGAGATTCCGAGCCCACATATTCAAATGCTTATGCGGGGGTATAATGTAGAACTGGCGAGGTAAAGACTCTGATCCGAGTTGGGCAGCCGAGCCGATGTTCCACGTGTACCGGACCCTTGCACTGTTCGGGAAGGGCATCGGCTTGTTAACCCAAGTTCTGGTATGCCTCTTCGACCAGTCAGAATCACCAAACGTAGCCCAGTACCCGAGATGACTGGCAATATTCAACAGAGGGGATATGTCATCATATTCCAGAACGTTTCCACCACCAAAAGAGGCAACATCCATCGCCTGATCAGCCAGGGCACCGAAAGTGAAAGCTGTTGCAGCTCCTGTGAGCTGTAGAGTCTGCGTAAATAACGAGCAAGCAGAGCCACAATTACCATCCGTCACAAAAGCGACCTCCGTCCAATAATCCGGGTCATAACTCGACTCCTTGACGATTTCGGGTAGAGCATTCTCCAATACGTCATAGCAGGAACCAAAAGCACTTGTAGCGGAGTAGTTTGAAGGCTCGCCCCATGGAAGAACCCGATAATTTGCGAAGTGACTTAAAGGAGGGTCGAAAGGCGCGCGAGTTTTAGGGTTTATCAGCTCCTTGTTATCGAAGAGATACCAACCATATTGTGGAGCCAATTCCGAACCAACGCTCGTTGATGAATTCAAAAAGCGTCTCTCTTTCAAGAAGGCTTTGAAGAGGCTCACTCGTCGAGCGACACGCTTCTCTGATAATATCGATTTTTCGATCTCCTTCAGACGCGGGACTTCAATTCGCTCGATAAAAGAATCCCGCAAGGTAGCCGAAGCCGAGAGCGCCTGGTCGACATAATTGAGCAGGATGTAGAGCTGTTGGAACCTTTCGTGGATGAAGCCTGGATCTCCAACCAGTTGAGCGTTCTCGTTGAAGAAGTCGTCGATAGTTTGATTATAGTTGAGTCCGAAAGATGACACCCAGGAGATCCAATCATCGGTCATATGGCGAACAGTAGGAAAGCAAATCTCGTCGGCATTTGGAACAATATACCATTGCAATGCGAAGGTTGAAAGGACAAAGCCACCACCATTGGTAGACACATCAAATAGTATTCGAGTCACATTGTTCTCTCGAGCAAAGTCTTGAACTTCGGAAAAGTTTTCGTACAGAACGACCGGCAGTGAAAAAATGCCACCACCGGGAACGAAGTCCGGTACGCTCACCACCACAGTGTCGTCCAGCAATGAATATTGGTAGCCAGTTCCAGAGATCCATCTCGCTCCCCCATGCGAAGTCTTTGACGAGGAGGAAGCAGCATCACCATCATCTCCAAGATTACGACTAGTATCCGCTCGAGCCACAATGTCGTCCAATCCAGCATAACCGTAGTCTTGATTCGACGACCCAACAGCAAAGTTCCATAGAGTGTTGGCATCCTTCTGGTAGAACTCGGTCTCGAACGCCACCGTTTTTCCGAATAGTGAATTTCTATTAGTTAGAGCATTGTAGAAGCGCGCGGTGATGGCATCATTTCCCACGGACTTGGTATAGTCGCTCAACCGCCCGAGCCAGTTTATCTCCTCAGTGGATCCGTCATCGAATGTGACACTGAGTGGTCCTGTTGGTGGCTGGAATTGTAGCAAATTCCTGTCGACGACAGATTTAACAAAGAAATGGCTATTGAGCCTCTGGAGAAGACCCTGGTAGATCCCCAAGTAAGGTCCACTCTCGGATACCGCATCCTGCATCCATTGAAGGACAGGCTTGCCGTCAACTTCAACAATGACATCGCCTTCCTTATGGGCAGTTACAGGTTTACCATAGACGGCAGGGTAATACATCTCGTTGAGATTCGGGAAGCCGAGAGTTACGACCTGGGCTCCGTCACGCATATACGAATCGAAGCGAATTGGAAGGACAAAGTAGAAGTCCCTGTATGGCGTATCATAGCGAGTATGAGCGTCGTTCAAGCGGCTTAACTGACGCTGTAGAGCGAAGTGAAAAGGGGCCGCTGGGATGCTCTCACTGAAGAACCTCTCCTTTTCCTCCGAAGTCATTGGGTCCAGCGCAGCGGCATACTCACTTATCCTGTCATCAATGAAACTGTCGATGTCAACGTCAAGAGAATGCAGCTTGAAGTTGCAGGTGTTGACCTCCACAGAGTCGTCCAAGCCATTAGCGATGTCAGTGAAGGCGTAGGTCTCAGCCAGGCCGTACTTGAGGTTGTGGAGAGTGAAGAGGGCATCGAAGTTGGTGATGGTGAGATTATTGAGGCATCGGGTCACGTCCTCGGCTCGTCCCCATATGAAGTCCTTCATAGTATCGTCTGCTAGCGTCTGTCGAATAGTCCGTCCTCTGGCTGGGCTCAGAGGGGCACAGTCGTCAACAACAGGGATCGAAGATGTGGGTATGACAGATCTGTTCGCAGGACCGCAGGGGATGGGTGGCTCACTTCCGTGACACACGACACCATCCCCAAACTTGTAGTACATGCAGTGGGTGACCTGGCCAGGCATTGCATCGCGGCATGCCTGATCCCACTTCTCATGATCGGGAGGCTGGCCTCGGACTGATGACCTTAACACCCACCAAGAGATGATCACACTAAGCTGGAGACGAGGCATCATCTTAGCAATAAACTCTTGATGGTTGGAAACTGATATTCCGAGTAATCATGACAACTTCCTCACAGTACAGCTACCGTCCACATAGCTGATCCTTCTACACGAGAGCCATCATCGATCGCTACCGATTCGATCACTGAATTTTAGTGCAAATGAACCAATCACATATCTTCGATCCAAGGGGAGACGCAAGGCGTCGCCTCATCCTATCATACAAGGAGTCTCCAACAATTGCACGCATGTGATTTCCATTCGCGCAATTGTGAGAGACATGGCACTAATAGCAGAACAGTTGCTGAAGGTTGATCTGCCCGCTTCTGCTGGCCGGTTTATTCGTTGCGCTATATCGTTCGTTCGTTATGTGCGACTGAGCGGCCCTACTTGTGCGGAGTAAGCAGGTAGACAGTATATAGCGGTCGCGCAATTGCTAAGGGTGGCTCATAGGTACACGTGCTAAAGCATCGAACCCATTCAGAGTTTCACGTGAATTCTTTTGAAAATTATCGTTGTCAATTCTGCCGGATGATGATCATCCGATGATCTCTCCGCTCCTGTTGGTCAGTTGATTCATTGCGTTATATCGTTCGTTCGCTATGTGCGGCTGTGCGGCTCTACTTGTGCTGAGTCAGCAGATATACAATATATAGCGGGCGTGCAATTGCTAAGGGTGGCTCATGGGTACACGTGCTAAACCATCGATCACATTCAGAGTTTCACGTAGATTCTTTTGAGAATTATTGTTGTCACTTCTGCCGGATGATCTGTCCGCTCCTGTTGGTCAGTTTATTCATTGCGTTATATCGTTCGTTCGCTACGTGCGACTGTGCGGCCCTACTTGTGCGGAATAAGCAGATAGAAAGTATATAGCGGGCACGCAGTTGCTCAGAATGGCTCATGGGTACACGTGCTAAAGCATTCAGGATCAAATTCAGAGTTTCACGTGAATTCTTTTGAAAATTATCGTTGTCAATTCTGTCGGATGATCTCTCCGCTCCTGTTGGCCAGTTTATTCGTTGTGCTATGCCTTCGTTCGCTATGTGCGACTGTGCGGCCCTACTTGTGCGG